ATATATAATTATATAGCAAAAACAATGTTTAACTAGAATACTAGAACATGATGTGGTTCGTTTCACCGTCATACCAACTACAGAATAGGACAGGTAATTTGACTACTACTATTATTCTCTGCTCTAGTGTTTTCTGTGCTACGCAGCAAACCACAATATATTTTTCCGTCATTCAGTACAGATAGAAAGAAAACTAAAATTTGTACATAAGCTATAATCTGAAGTATTTTCAACGAACTTCAGATTACTATATTTTAAAATTAAATGTCATGCTATTAGACATATTATATTCAGGTAGGTTACTTTTGATCAGAAGGAAAATTAGTCGGTGTGTATTCAGTCATTCTATATAAAGAAAGAAAAACTACAATTTATATATAGGCCTAAGATAATTTTAAGTATTTTAAACGAATTTCAGATTATTGAATTTAAATTAAATGTCATGGTATCAGATATATATTCAGGAGTTTACTTAGTTTGGTTGGAAAGGAAATTAAATTGAATGTATTCAGTCATCAATGTTAGACTATTTGTTAAGTTATGTTGGAGAGACATTATAAAAATTATTTTATTTGTTTGATCTGAAAAATTACCTACCCCAAAATATAAATCAGCGTTAAACTTATTTTCATTTATTTTATCTCTGTATTCTAAAAGTATTCATTCAATTTAACAATTAATAGGTCTATGTTAATATAAAAATATTATAAACATACATTATCATTAAAATCGTGGAAAGATTACAAATTTGTCCAAGATTTAAACAAAGCATGCAAGGACGTCCAATAGAATTAACAAAACGTTTTTTTTTTCTCTCACTCTTTTGTGGGATAACCCATGGACATTTATTCATTGTTTTTTACATTACATTTTATACAATAAAATAAACTGTGATTATAATAAAATAAAATAAAAACTAAATTGTATATAATAAATGCGGAATTGCTTTTACAGCATTCATATTTTTTTTAGTTGAGCACCAATCTCAGTATACTTATTGTTTTTATGTGAAATTACATTTCATTTCTTTACATTATCACATGAAATGTTGCAAGTGTTACCATTCAAAGCACAATATAACAATATCTGTATAGTTAAATATCTATCTCTGCTTATTGTTTGTTTTATGTGAATTTACATTTCATTTCAATACATTATTATATTTGTTATTTCATTTTATTCTAACCAACAGCGATAACAACCACAACTAACAGGTTAAAATTCATATAAATACAAACAATACATATAAAAGGTTTAAGAAACAAGAAATATAACAATACATTAGAAAGTACTAACGACCTTTGATTCAAAAATATTTAAACTGTCATATATATATATATATCAATATTAGGCATACAATTTTTTTATAAGTATCACATAAACGTTTAAATAAACCTCTACATGTAAGTCAACACGACTAAAAGGTAGATTTAAAGACTTCTATTTCGGGTGCGACTAGGCATATGCCAATTAAATATAGAAAGTCACGTCACAATCATAATCAGAAATCATAACCAATGCACATTAACCATTCAAAATATAATTACAACAATAACACCTGTATAGTTATTACTTAAAGCACATTTTCCCCCTTTTAGTTAAATATATATCTCTGGTTATTTTTTTTTGTTATGTTAATTTATTTAATTCCAATGTGGTCCTTGTAGAGAGCCTGAAACATGAATATTGAAGAGAGCCAAATCAGGAAAAATACGGAAGTATGAAGCACATATGAACACAGAAGCAGAGCTATTTTGATTGTTAATTTTAGTTTAAATGAGTCAGCAGTCGTTTCGTAAATTAGGCACAGTGCAGCTTGAAAATGAGCGAAATCGCTTGGTACTTAACAAGATTCAGGTTCCTTTGACTCGGAGGTTGGAGGAAAGGGTGATTGTGAGTTAATCCAGGGTTCAATTCCAACCTCGGAATGCAAGAAATATACATTCATTTTTAAGATGATTAATGATTTTTTTTAAAGATGTCAATCAGCAACAAAACGGAAGTAGGATATACCAGGCACAGGTTATTCAATAATTATGACAAATATATTGTTGAAGATGGGTTGTGGTAAAAAACCATGTAGGCCTATCACTCATTCAATCGATTTTTCTCTCAATATTACATTATTAAAATGATTGTTTATGTAATTGTAAATTATGTACTGTACGATAAGTAGAGGCCTTGGCAGCGTATTTATTCTCTAAGTTCAACAAAGTAAATGCATTTATTTATTAGCTCAACTTCCTCAATAGGATAAAACTACTGTCTCTGATGAGCTATATAGACAAAAAACTTATCGTACACACTCGCATGAGCAGCGAATCGTGATATCGTATATTGAGAAGCAGCAAATAAAACGCAACTTTACGCATTAGAAGTTTGGCTCCATCTCAACTGATATTTCAAAAGCAGTGGAGTCGAATATGACGCCCTAATATCTCCACCTACTTGTGTTTGATTAAAGATTACTAATCCAACCATTGAGCTCTAATAGATCGACAATGGAAGGTGCACATTGTTTACAAGCCATCTTTTGTCGGCTCACTCCTCTTATCCAGGCAATACTCGTAATCCCGCTCTGATCAGAACCAATTATTAAATTCACCATTTTATATACTAGTCATGAAGACCCCAAATCACCTCGGACTTTTAGGTATGGTTTACACTAGAGTAACTTTAACGGTTTACGCAAACTCGAGCAATAGTGAAATAGCGAGTTTTGCGTTTGCGTAAAACAGCTTGATAATGTGAACCGACCTTTATATTACATAAGATATGGCGCAGCGCCAAAGCTAATTTGGACATGCGAAATACCGTGGATTTGAGGTTGAAATGTATCACGGGACTTTAAAGTCTTGAATCACCACAGTTATCCAATATAACCATGCCATATTTCAGCATTGAATAATAATTAAAAAAAAATATTTAAGTATAGCTCCATGATTTAAGAAACTAAAGGCTATGGACATAATTCTAACAAGAGTGCTTAAGCTTCAGCCAAACCTGTTAGACGAGGCCTATGTTTCGTAACGGTCACAACGATTGTCATATAGGCCTACTTATGTCTTTGGGGCCAAATATATCTTATCCTATTTCTGTCTTTTACAAAAATACAATAGATAATCGTCTGGCAAGAGTTTCTTAAAAGTTATTTTGACACGATCCTGTCTCCAAATTAACGAGTATAATGAGGGTTGGTTAATACCTTATTAACTAACAACGGAGGTACTTATCAAGTCAAGTTCTCGTAAACGTTTTATCCTCTTACGCAATTTATTACTTATATTGTTATACTTACTATTTTACAATGTAGCATAGTTTCTTCGGTAAACGAGCAAGTCGTCGATTCGGTGACTTTTATTTTAAAGAGGTATAGCCGTTTTGGCATTGAAATGTATCATTTAACCATAAATAAGGCTGACTAATGACGCTAGATGCTTTCTTACGATGTCATAAATACTGATTTAGTAGACTCGGAGTTTAAAATAATTTTAAAAGGCTAGGGTTGGATGATTGGATTGGGAGGCGTAAGTTATTGTACCACACTCTTTACTATCAAAGCTCACTGAATTCAAATTCTAGATCTGACGTAATAATAGGCTATACATGCAGGTAACTGCAACAGTACACACAAAATTTAATGGTTCGTTATTAACATCATGAAAAAACAAGAAAAAAAAAACATCATGATGATTATTTAGAAGAACGGTTAATTAAGATTATTGGTTTAGTCAACCACTTCGTTTTTGAAATTTGTAAGTTGTTAATTTTAATTATTAGGATTTGGATTAGCCCATGATGGAAACTACCAGAGAACAGCATGTGCCTGTGCGCACCCTGGGTGACAGTGATGCTGTTTTCGTTATCAGGGCCAGTCCTCCATTTGAAAAAAAAATGACCCCCCACTCACCAACCGTTGATTAAGTTTTTTCAAATTAATAATTAAATAAATTAAAGTCTCGAGTTTTTGGTAGTTTTATTTAGATTTTGAAATGCACTGTTGTGTGGATGAGCCATGAACATCTTTTAAGAGGGATACTGGTGCAAAACAAATTTTCATTATTATTATTATTATTATTATTATTATTATTATTATTATTATTATTATTATTATTATTATTATTATTATTATTATTATTATTGTTGTTGTTGTTTTTGTTATTTTTATTATTATTAGAGACTCAATCTATCAGGTCCTTAAAGAGGAACTTATGTTACACAATCTTGAAGTTGATATGTTTATCTCTGGCCTATGGGAATTCTAGACATCATCTCTTCTTTCTTTATCTCATTATTCACAGGAAAT